ATTTCGTATTTCTCTAAATTACCGTTATATGGGATGTGGGCGTGGTTATTGTCCGATTTTAAAAAGTTTCGGCGGTTTTTTATGCTGTACCAAGGCCAACAACTGTGCCAAGTTTGGAAGAAATTGGTGCAGCGGTTACCAAGATATACACATGTAACCATAAGTGGGCGTGGCTACGCCCATTTTCCAAAAATTTATAATATTCTTATTTTTCGTCTAAAACTTATTATAAATATCAATTTTGAGTGAATAATCTCCAGTAGTTACTAAAATATCGCAGTTTTCGTATTTCTGAAAATTACCGTTATATGGGAAGTAGGTGTGGTTATTGAGCGATTTTAAAAATTTTCGGCCATTTGGTATGTTATGCGGAGGCCAACAACTGTGCCAAGTTTGGAAGAAATTGGTGCAGCGGTTACCAAGATATACACATATAACCATAAGTGGGCGTGGCTACGCCCATTTTTCAAAAATTTATAATTTTCTTATTTTTCGTCTAAAAATTATTGTATCAATTTTGAGTGAATTATCTTCTGTAGTTACTAAAATATCGCAGTTTTCGTATTTCTGAAAATTACCGTTATATGGGAGGTAGGCTATCTCTGCCACTGTCCCGCCCTGTCCAATATGCGCAACCAATTCTTCAACAAGTACTTTGTAGATTGTTTAGCCGAACGGCGGCGAACGTTCTCGACTTTTTGTGCTATATAAAACGCACTCGGTGGTTCAATTACTAAGGGAGGGAAAGAAACAAATGGCTTCGGCCAGTGGTATCACAACGGGCTTTTCCAGCCCACGTGTGCTCCGCGTTCTGCGCGGGGCAGCCACTCTAACCTAACCTAACCTAATGGGAGGTAGGCATGGTTATTTTCCGATTTTGCCCATTTTCAATACCATCCGTCCTACTCCCGAAAGAAGTCCACGCACCAAGTTTCGTTAAGATATCTCAATTTTTACTCGAGTTATCGTGTGCACAGACGGACGGACGGACGGACAGACAGTCACGGCTTAATCGATTTCTCTTTTTATCCTGATCTTTATGTATACATTTGTCTATATCTATCTCCATTCGTTTTGCCTGTTACAAATAACCGTTATGTGAACAAAGTTATAATACCATTTTGCACAAGTGTGCTCGGGTATAAAAATATACTCCAATTTTTTTTATTTTGAAATCAAAAAATATTTAGAGAAAAAACTACTGTTCGTAGAAATGGTATATAACTCTTTAAAATCGATATTTTTAAATGTTTAAGAATTAATTTTATTTGACACATAGCGAACGACACGATTAACATGCCGTTTGAGTGCATAACGACGTGGACGGGACAGAGCTTTGTCTGCCTCTGGATCAGGTTTAACTCATTACCTGAGCAGTGGTAACGCAGTTGCGCCCAACGAGTGCCTGGCATGCAGAGAGTCGCCACATGACCCACGGCTCCTTTTCGCATGCTCCCAAAACCCCATACAGCTAATGCCCTTGTCCCTATTGACAGCCCCGTTAAATGAGGCTGACTACAAACTAACTAGACTAGAAATAACTAGAACTAGTAACTAGAATTGAAATAACTCTATAACAAAAAACAAAAACCTAAAACGTCCGTATTCCAAAAAAAATATCTACGTACGTAAGCTCTATTGTGTAATATAAGTACTGTATAAAGTAGTGGTTAATTTTGTAGTAAACAAGCAATTTTTTGCAAAAAAAACACCGACTTCAACTCTCATATAAAAAAAAAATATATATATATATATATATATATATATATCATGATCCACTGATCGGATCTTAACCAGATTAGTATGGAACCACCTCTGAGACACTACATTTCCTATACATAAAGAATTATCGAAATCGTTGACGTGGTCCAAAGTTATGCGGTAACATACATAAAAAAAAAAGACAAAAAAATATTCAGACGAACTCATAACTCCCTCCTTTTTTGGAAGTCGGTTAAATATAAGCTTTTTTCTCAATTATGATCAAAACAAAACCAAATTTCGAAAAAATTTAAGCACTTTCTTAAGTAGGACTAATGCTGAATTTCTACTGGACATTAAATGACAACAATTTTAATGACTAGGACTCACTCAGAGATAACTCCTGAGAGAGGATGCCAGATAATATTTCGATATCCATTTTGGAGCGGTCCGTAAAAATGGGTATTTCGTCATCGTTGAGAGGAATATTAAATTTCAATCACTTCTGTCGGGGACAATGGACGTCGAAGTTTAAATTGAAATCAGTTTCCGTAACCTGATAGTCACAGCTACTGTACATACTCCGCCCCACTCTGTCGAGGATTGTGACGTGGCCCTTGAAAATTGTTCGGAGCGGAATCATTGGTAAGAATAGTCCTAACTACCGCTGTATAAATCCAGTGTATTATCTGCGGTCGCAGCCCCCAGTCTTTCCCAATCGTAGCTTTATAGAAGTAGACCGCATTGAGCGCCTTTTTTCTCCGCTCTTCGGTGTTTCTTTTCCAGGAAAGTTTAAAGTCGAGAATAACACCCAATAACGTTGTCTCTTTGACAATTTAAGATTTGCTCCATTGAGGGACGGAGTTCGAAAATTTTTCTACCGTACATCGCTTGGTGAAAATAACAAGTTCGGTTTTGGTGGGATCAACCCCTAGACCGTTTCTTTCTGCCCACCATGCCAGATCGTTGTTTGCAAATTTTAAGATCTCGCTGACCGTCGAGGGGAATTTCCCAATGACCAGAATGACCAAGTCATCAGCATATGCTACGACCTTATCGGCTTTCGATGTGTGGAGCAGGAATTCGTTTGGCACGAGGTGGAAATAACACCCCCCTCCCCCTTCTTTCCTTGAGGGGTACCACGTGTTGCTGTTTTCCTTAATTCTGATGCATCCTTCTGGTACTCAATACATTGTCGATCCAGAGAGTGATCAGTGGGTGCAGTCCTGCGTGATCTGCACACTCAGAAGCCTCTCCATTATTTTGAGAAGAAATGATGAGAGGCTGACGGGTCTTAAATATTTTGCAGTACTGTGGCCCGTCTTCCCTGTTTTAGGAATGAAGACCACTCGTACCTCCCTCCGTGGCTTTGGAATATCGCCATAGAGCAGACTCGTTCTATAGATAGTCATTAGCCAGGGAGTTATCGTGGCACTTGCTTGTTGTAGCATGACTGGAATGATTCCATCCGGACCCGGAGATTTGCAGAGTTGGAAGAATCTGATAGCCCAAGCTACTTTTATCTTCAGTGATAATTTAGTCAACTGGACTGCCTTGCCTATGGGTACTTCAGTATTCTGTTACGAAAGTGACTGTGTCTCCTGCTTTACCGCACCCAGGGAAGTTGACGCCCATCAGGTGTTCTAGGGTTTCTATGCTGCTTTCGGTGTGCGCTCCTCCTGGCTATTCCAGGATTCCGGTAGGAGCTGCGCTTTTTTGAAAGGAAAATTCTTAATCGCGCGGCTTCAGTAGTCGTTTCGAGGTGCTCACAAAATTTGGACCACGATACCTGCTTTGCCCTCTGCATCACTTTCTGGAACGCATTGAAGTTGCGACAATATTCGGGACGTCTTTTTAAGGTGACTTAGTACAATTTTGAAATTGGAAATAACTTCACTGATTCGTGCATATATATACATGTACATACATACATATCTTAAACAAGATTAATGTTTATACATTAAAGCCACCACGCCCAAAAATCATTATTACTATCATATTTCCCAACTAACAAAAGGCACACTTTATGAATTTTTAATGAACTACAAGCGAGCAGCTTTAACACTTTATTACAAACGAAATAAATTAATTGATGACAGCAACAATGCCACACCGTGTGTGTAGCCACCCATAATAAGCCATTGAATGTTACCTTACATGAGTATAACCCTTTCATTTAATATGGCTAACCCTTTAACAATGAAAAGCAAAGAGTTGAATAGTAGTTTCTCACAAAAGTCAACTGAAAAATTTCTAGATCACGTGCGCCAGATTTAAAGCAAGGTAAAATCAAAAAAAAAATGAAACAGCACACAATAAAAATATGATAATTTCACTTTCGTAAGAATGAAGAGAACACATTTTGGCATAGACACAGGCGAAGCAATTCGGGACACACCCCTTAAAAAGAGTACCGGTTTGACCGGCGCTAGAGCTAACTATTAAAGGGATAATTTAACGAAACACCTTGTCTGGCTGGCGCGCGCGCCACTACAAACGCCTGTAGGGGAATATAGACACACACACACACACACACACACTAATCAACAGCAGGGAATTTTATACAGGATCCTGATCTGCAAGGGTAACTCGTGTAATTTGTAGCTGTGCTACACCCAACTATAATTAATTCAAAGGTGTTTTTTTGGGGGGGATACCCCTTAGAGTGGCGGACAGACAAGGCGCTTGCGAAAGACAATGACTTTTGAGTGATAAAAATCACACACTCGCCTTGATTGCAACGAAGCGCGATTTGCAGCTACAGTTTTTTTTTTTCAGCTGCCCCCATTAACATAAGTAAGTATGTATGTATACATGCATGTAAATGCGCTGTATTGCACGGCACGAATTTTCCATAATAACATGCTGCAAGTGAATTTTAAGTAGCTTTTCTATTAACTTTCCAACACATATATACTTACACACACCCATATATAAAAAACCATAGCTAGCTCCTATAAAAAAAGTTTTCTCTTGCATCGGGGTAAACTCCGCTTCGCTGCAGCCACCCACCAAAGTTATTGCGCATATTTTTCCAAAGTTGTGCACGTGCACACTTGACAGCCGCTTGACATTTAAGTTGTCACTTTGGAGTGTGTTCAAAATCGTGTGTGTGTGTGTGTGTGTGTGTTGGCGTGCGTGCGCCAATTTAATCTCAACACCTGCATCTTTATGCTTTTGTGAATTTAAAAGCGATATGCACTGCTCTACTAAGTCATTCAACTAAATACACAAACATAAAGCTAATACATATATACATAAATAACACACATTCAGAAATGTAACTCTGAATCACTTACCAGAGCTGGCGAGTCGACTGCTGGTTGCCCCAAACATTTGATATGGATCTGTAAAAATTAAAATAAATAAATATTTGTAGTTGGCATTTAATTTGCATATTTTGTGCATTTAT